ACCACCTGTGAGTCCAACCCGTTGTGTAAAGCAGGTTACGGTCGTGAAGAGACTGATAAAAAAGCATGTTTCTGGCTGGGGCAGAAGAAATATAGTTGTGCAAAGGGGGGGCATTTTGAAGCACCGCGCACGAGACCTCTAAAAGTAACTTGTGRCGATGGCATGAAAGGCAACGGATGTTGTCCGGGTGACGATGTTTGCTCTAATGGAAATTGCAACTTTTTCCGTTTTTTTGCAAGTTTGACCTACCTATTCAGAGTGCCTGGATATGGGCGCAAGGTAGTAGTGGGGCGCAAACATTATGAACAGAGGACAGGTTTTATACTTTGCAATAGCTTGTCTGTAGGTGAAAAAGGAGCGGGGAGTATTCCTAGTGCTGCTGAGTGTTGTTTAATGCTGTTGTGAGTTGAAAGTGTTGTGATCTTCAACCCACAGAGACTGTAAGAGTATGTCAAACACTGAACCAAGAACAAACAATTATTCCAAACYGAGATCGAGAGTGATTTGATATCACTTGGTACTGTAAAAAACTATTTGGAATCCTTCTATCAAAAAAGAAGATTTCCAAATAGTACCACTAGTTCTATTTAAAGCGAACATCAAGCAACATTCCAAGCTACTTGAACAGGATTATCACTTCCTTTATTTGGGGCTTGATTGAAACATTGAGCTCATTCAACATGCCAGGTAATGGATGAGGCTATTGAATACCATAATTATGTGATAGTATTCCTTTTCTTACAATCCAAGAATACTCACATGATAGTCTTTTCAAGAAATTTTACCCATATTTTCCTTGGCAGTTATCTCGTCTCCGTTGGCCTCTTTCAAAGCTTTCAAGAACTTTCTTACCTGAACCAAACTTCGTAGCTTGATCTTCTGCTTCGGTGAGTAATAGTATTTGTCTGTATGGCCTTTGGTAGCCCCTGCCTTTCTCGAATAAAGTTTCTTTACCCACTGCATGCGTAAATGCATCAATGGTAGTCACAAAAGGAGGAGCAGGAAATACGAGAGAAGACCCTTTGTGAGATAAAATTTTTCAACACATTTTTAGGTGGAAAGAGACACGCCTGGTAACTCAACATAGCACATCTCAATAAAAGAGGAAGAACGTCGATACTCACACCTTTTGGCCAGCCTCCTTCAATTTCTTCGTCTGGKATGCCCTCCCATACAGGCACAGGTTCTGGTTTGGCTGCTTTTGTCTTCCTGTTCTTGGCTTTCTTCGGCGGACTTGCTTTTGCGTTTGTCATTCTGCCCCGTCTTTTCGTCGAAGCGGTGTTGATTTTWTTTTCTTCTTCCTCCTCTCCGTTATCCAGCTGCGATAACGAGCTTTGTTTCTTGCAGAAATTATCGGTATCAAACTTTTTGTTGGCATCATAATAATTTAGAGCTGCAATGAGTTGTGGGCGTGAAAAAACATCAACATCACCATCGTCGTAAATGATTTTCCATAGCTCCACATTCCCTGGTATTGCTCCTTCTACTGCCCCGAAAAATATTCTRTTCACCTTGAATATCTTATTCAGGTGTCTTCTGTTGGTTGTCGAAACTCTGAACCGTTTCGCAATACGTCTCTCTGAGAAGATGTTTTTTTTCTCATCCTTTGTATCGGTAGATGACGCATGCTCGCTACCGTTCTTTTCCCCGTGAATAATGTCGCCTGTAGACATTAAATTGTCCTTTCTACTATTGTCATTTGGGTCATCCTTCAATTCCGATCCATCCTCGCTTGTCTCCACAAAGTTACCATCCTGCCAAGTCTTSAATGATGCATTTGTATTGTTGGCACTAWYCCCTTTAACGGTGGCGTCGGTGTCCCTCTCGTCGTTCTCTGTGCACTTGTGGTTTGGATCGCTGTTTAAGTCCGTTCCGTTCACTTTAGTTYGCGTAATGCGATGCTGATTCTTACCTACGCTGGATTCAACGGCGCTGCTGGCTGCGGAGTCAAAAGCTGCGCTGCCATTCGGATATCTAGCAGTATATGTTTCTGAACCGGCTGAGGGTTCGTCTATCGCCTGCTGATGACCAGCAGTATCATTGGTTGAGGGAAGATCCATATCACGGGAAACTATCGAAACCGTATTTCAGGAAGCTTCTTCAACGCAGTGCGATGAAGATACGTGAGTTGATTTCAAAGATATCGGTATTAGCACCAAAAGTACTAGTATTGGATTCTAACGACGTGTAAGAAAATGTGAATCCTCTCTCCTCTCAATTGAAAATAACTCGTAACAGTAGTTGGTTAGCACATGTAAAGCAGATGGCTACGAACGGTCGGTTTCGTAATCATACTGGTACCGGTACAGAACCTTCGAAATGAGATGATGATACAGTAAATTTATGAAGGATACTGTTGTATGGTACCAAGTACCGTACATTGCGCAGGTGTGATACTACGCGTTTCGTAACAATTGAATACGGTCGCAAAAGAGAGCAAAAAGTGTTGATTCGATACGTAAACGTACGAAGTCTGAAAGAAATTAATCCTATTGACTAGATAAATTAGTAAAGAATGAGAATCTCTGGATATGGGAATGTTTCTTCCCTTCTCCCATCGGATTCTCTTCACACATTTTGTTAAACAAATAGTCCACAAATATGTCCATGTTGGACAAATAAACAAATATGACGTCATCCACATTGGTCGCGCCGTCTGTTCGTCAACACACTCCTCACTGTAGCATCAYCGTAGCCATGGTAGACTTGGCATTGGTGATCGCGTGCATTGCCTTGATTGCGGGCGTATCACTGATACTATTCCATGATRGTCTTCAAGCTGAAGCTGCTGCTACAGTGTTATCTTGATCCTTCATACGGAGCAACCGGGCGTCATTATATTGTTGCTTGTAGTGAATGTAATCCTTTTCAGTCACCCCTTGAATRGTGTTACGGAATCGTCGGAACTTGGCTCCCTGTAAAGGCTTTGTGAAGTAGTCGGCAACAATTTCGTCRGTAGGGCAGTATTCTATGGTTACCTCTCCCTTCTTCACTCTGTCGGTAACAAAGAAATATCGTATGTTAATGTGACGGGTCCTTTTAGTACTGGATGCTTTTCCATTYCTCTCGAGCCTAATAGCGCTCTCATTGTCCTGGTACAATGTATTGCTCTTCATTAGCTTCATCGACTCGGAGTCAATGYTTCCTGCATTGTCGGTCATATGCTGACGCTGGGCCATTAGGAAATACCTTGCCCATATAATGAAAGGCATATTATCATCAACRCCGACAACCTCCGCTTCTGTTGAGCTCTTGGTGTTAAGCTTTTGTTTAGTGCATGTTGTAATTRCCGCACCCTGTCCGAGCGTCATCATCCCCCCGGAATGGCTACGCATATCATTATGCACGGCGAAAGCTGCATCCACGTGCCAGTACATGTTGCCGGATCCATCCCATCCCAGCATCAGAGGCAGAAAAGGTGTTTCACTCAGGTAACTCATCACCCGCTTGAGTTTCTTCCAGTCATCAACATCCNTATCGAAACCGTATTTCAGGAAGCTTCTTCAACGCAGTGCGATGAAGATACGTGAGTTGATTTCAAAGATATCGGTATTAGCACCAAAAGTACTATTATTGGATTCTAACGACGTGTAAGAAAATGTGAATCCTCTCTCCTCTCAATTGAAAATAACTCGTAACAGTAATTGGTTAGCCCATGTAAAGCAGATGGCTACGAACGGTCGGTTTCGTAATCATACTGGTACCGGTACAGAACCTTCGAAATGAGATGATGATACAGTAAATTTTTGAAGGATACTGTTGTATGGTACCAAGTACCGTACATTGCGCATGTGTGATACTACGCGTTTCGTAACAATTGAATACGGTCGCAAAAGAGAGCAAAAAGTAATAATTTCAAGTTCTAAACTTCCATTTGAAGTTATGAACTTTTGCTCCTACATCATGTACCAGGTTCTATTGAGCTAGTTTTTTAAAAATGACTGTTGAATGGGTCATTCCCGATAGTCTAGGGGGAGGGGCTTACAGAAAGTCTAAAAATTGAGACTAGATGTTCTATTGCATCTATTTTTGGTCTGTCTGTCTATCAATATTTAGACTTTCTAGACTAACGGGAATGACCCAATGGCCGAATAGATTCCTGGGCCCCCTCAAAACGCAACGCGCTACTAATATGACCAGAAATGACTGAATATATATATATATATATATATATATATATTAATATCATATAAATAGAATATAAATATTAATGTAAGAATAAAGTACATATTAATTCCAATCCGTTAGAAAAAATGTGATCAAAACTGATCACAAAAAATTGTGATCAAGAAATTCATCAATTTTGTGATCATTTCTGATCACATTTTTTTGTGATCAAAACTGATCACATAATGGAAAAAAGGGGACCGGAGAATTTAATTTTTTTGAAAAACATCAAAATCGACATGGTTCCAGGGCAATTGAGGTGATTCAATCATGAATCCAACATTTCAATCATGAATGCCATCCAAAAACTAGCTCACTAGAACCTGGTAGACTTTCTACCAGGACATTTTGAAGTTCATAACTTCAAATTGAAGTTTAGAACTTGAAATTATAACTTTTTGCTCTCTTTTGCGACCGTATTCAATTGTTACGAAACACGTAGTAAAGTAATTTAGGAGGGGTACACAACGTGTTGGAAACTTCTGCAGCACGATGTGAAAACTGTTGGAACCCGGAGATTAAGAGGTGAACCACAACAGACATCAGCAAACAGATTTCCTCTAAATATACAATGACGTGGCATCACCAATATATGGTAAATAGGCATCGAATGGAAAAAGCAAGTGACATTGAGAAAATGGTCTGAGTGGTGGATCCAAAGGAACCAAAAGTAGTTAAGAGAATTCTCATTCTTTTTAGTTTATTCAGTTAACAGTATGACACTTTAAGACTTCCCATCACTTAGGCCAAGAAGCGATTGGCCAGCAGACGTGGATTCAGCATAAACTAAAAAGAATCTCAAAATAGCAAAAATATGACAAGTGGCAATGATAATCCTAATAAGGCTGCTGGGGGAAACAAGATAACCTCAGATGAACACAGATCCTCCGACACCGCTGGCGGGGGAGCCCCRTGGAAACAAGTGTTCAGACAGTGAGGTGGCAAGAAGAAAACAATGAGTAAGCAGTCCACTAAACCGACATTCAAAGGTAAAGGGCTGGTGGTGGTAGTAAAAGATTGGCTTGCTAACACAAATAGCTACTTTCTGTGGTGCAAAAACTAAGTTATTGTTAGTAAGGTTGAAGTTAGGCTCTGAAAAGCATATATTTGCTCTTCTTATGGCTCCATGTCTCTAAAAATGAATAATCTGTTTTTGGTCAAGGTACTAATTTATTTCCAAAAAATGGTATACCAGGGTTTACACAAATCCACACTAAAAAAGCTTCTTTTTGTTTCCTCRGTAAGTCCARGGCTGTAAGAATTCTTCAAAGTTRCTRGCTATGGTGCACTAAACAAGATAGTGGTGGTAGTCCAGTGCACCATAGCCAATTAGTAATTAGTACATGATAGTATTGTATTTGCTTAAGTAGAAATAGTCTGTCCTTTGTCCAGTCAGTCCCACCTGTCTAGTCCTTACTAGCAAAAATTCAAACTGTCTGCCCTTCATCTGTTTCTTGTACTAATTCCCCAGTAGTAATTTCTACTAATAATATAGTCACTATTTAATAGTGCTGTAATATCCCAAGAATGAATTTGATGCCCAACAAATTGATATTCAGAATCAGTATTAAAATTAAAAATCTGACTAAGTTTCAGACCTTGTTTTTATAAAATGCCAACACATAGGATAGGGTGTTGGTTTGTTATCTCAATTGTAGTAGTCACTGATCCATTTTTAGTCTTRATTCAATACAAACTGCACCTCAGACAAAGGATTGCTGAGTATCTTTGACAATGGGGGGCTCTGGAGCTTCAGGGGAATGCACAGATCTACTGTCCATAGTAATTATTTGGATCATCTGACCATTTCTTCCTTTGTTATCAACTGCCATGATTAACTTTGCAGTAGCCTCCCTTGCCTTGTTTGTTGCTGTGTGTGACTTCACAGATGCTGTACAACTGCTAGCTTCCTCTTTGCGAGCAAGATCTTCCAAGTGCATGCCTTTTGGCCCCTATAAACAAGGAGCTTTGCATGATGACTTGTCTTCTTGACCTTTATATATTTCCTAATAGGCCTATGGTCCCTCTGGTRTAACAGTTGAAGACATYGTGGTACTAGAACACTGTCTGGTAGCTTCACTGCTCCTGGGGAGCTGTTTATGTGTTAAKAAACATCTTTGTGGAGTTCTTTGACAATGTAGTTTGGTGGCTTTTGATTAGATGGTACATTTTGCTGCTTCTCCTCAAAGRTAGTAATCTTGGTATCCTCCATACTAATTCACTGGGGTGGTGCATGACCTCACAGGAGGTACTGTTCTCAATCAATTCCAAGAGAAAGGAAAGTGACTGARYCATTATGATAAGTTGTATTAAATGAATCCACCACTCTTCCACCTGATCAGCTTGAAACAGAAACAAAAGAATTAAGGGCGTGTCTTGCCAAATGTTGAGCTGCATGATTAGGTGCCTAATTTAGTTAGTAGACAAGAGAGGTTTGTCAATTGTGGGACTGGAATTTTTCAATCAAACTAGTCATTACACAATAAAAAGGAGATGGCTCAAAATTGACTWACAATTTTTCAACCATACAACCATTTTCATCTTGCTGGTGACCTGACAGTTTGAGCTTTACCTTGATCTCCAAGGGTCACTTGGCAGCAGAGACAAGCATCCCCATTTGTTCCCACCTATAAAAAGATAATTTTCTAGTTATTGTATAGGCCTGGCTAGCAAATGTACACACCAGTCGTAGATTTTGGGCCCTTAYATTTCTGTGTAATGACTACTTTGACTAAATAAACTAAATACCAAAGTACAAGTATGTACTCTACAGCAAGGCACTTGCTGAATTTTTGAAGAATCCCACCAGTCGTGCGACCAAATAATTTTGAATTCCACCAGGCATGTGACCAAATAGTTTTGCTTGCACAAGCACTCTGTAGCTGTAGTAAAAGTTGATTCTTAATCCCACAGGTCATTACTACGCCATAATTAGAAGGCCCAAAATCGACGCACTGCCGTACAAAATACAAAGTCCCCAATGGACACTTAACAATGATAAGCACATGAATCAAATCCCAGTAGTAAAAAGAGGAATTCAGTGATATGGGCGGTTATAGGAGGGG